TTTTTACCCATTTTCCAGGAGCTTGAAAAGAAATATATTGAACTTGTTTATTATGCGTGTAAATAAAACTCTCAAAACCGTTGAAATTTGTATTCGAATCTTTCCTTCCAAAAACAAAATTTGACGGATCGCTGTTTTTCTTTATGAATTGTTTATTAAGTGGGCGGGGTTTGGAGTTAAGGGGCGGAGCTTCTTCTTAACTTCTTCTTCGAAGTTCAATTTATCCATCCATCAAGTTAGAGGGTGACTGCATTCAATTTCAATTTCATTCCAATTCATTTTTCACCGGTAGTTTCAACCGCTCCTATCTATGGAATTTTAAGGTACTTCGTTTCAGATTGTGCCATGCACTTGAGTTTCATTCGAAAAGTAATTGCATGTACATGGAGCGCACGTACAAGTGCATCTAGGAGCAGATTGATCTGGGAGGACAAAGTGCCCAGGATTTGCTCTAGAGTGCGCCACGCACACGACTTCACTAAGTAAAATGTGAAAATGATTGATGACTTTTATTCAGTCTCCGACGTTCATTTCTAATGTGGAAGTTGTAGGTGACCGCATTTACAGTCTCTGCACTCAACACTACTCCTCACATGATCCATTGAGACTATGACATTAATTTACGGCAAAATATTTGAGTAGATATTTCCCGACATCATCCTATTTTTGAGGGGGTTTTGAAGGCAATCTAGTATCTTGGATAACCTTCTGTTCTCTTCACTATTATGGCACCTTCGCCATAAATCAAAGTCTCCTCCTTGGCACGGTCCCAAAACTTCCCTCTTCGTCACGTCCAGATCATAATTATGTTTTTCCCTACCCATTGGTTCTTCGCAACTAATGGTAGGTTGTACACTGCCAAATTCGACGTGAAAATTGCTAGCTAATGATATATGGATCGACCTGTGTTTAAAACTTATAAAACCATTTTCTGCCGGGCGCATTTGGATGCCCCCCCCCCCCCCCCCCCCCCTCCCTTCCATTCAAATAATCATTGTTCAAACACGTCGTTAGTCGTCGTTAGCTATAGGCAACTTGTGAATCTCTGGAATCAGCGACGCTTTATGCTTTGGTCCGAAGAAAATTTATGCAGAGCTACTGCGAGGCTCACTAAGCCCTACTGAAGCGAGTTTCACGTTGGGAAGCTACCTCACAAGGCTTTGAGGGGAAATTTTAAATATGTCTGTATACGAATGCGATTGGATCGAATAAGAGAGAAACACATTATGACGGTCATTTGAATTGTCGTTATCTAGTTGAAAATGAGAGCGTCGAGCCTGTAATGGCTTGGACCTCTGCTGTGAAGTCCACAAGGTCAGTTGATCAAAGAAGCAATGCAGCTCAAAGGAAGCATGGTTATTGCAGGAGATGCAGTAGGTAGGGAAAGCAGAAAAAGCAAAAGTAGCGGGCCGGAATGACGTCAAAGGAGAAGGACAAAGGGAATAAGTAGCAGTAAAAGAAGAAGTAGAAGAAAAATATTCAGAAAACTAAAACAAAAATATAAGCAATAAGAAATGAAATAAATAAATAAAGAGAAGTAGAAAAAGTGGTCTACTTCGCACTGCTGGTGAGGCACTGCTCATGGGATTAGCTATGTAGCGTGATGGAAAAAGCGCGGAGGCTGGAAAATACAAGCGCTGATTTGAAATTCTAGAACGCCAAACTCACGTTTAAGGATCTTTATGGTAACATTAGCATCACAGAATCGAAATAGTGCTGCCCTAGTTGCGGGCTAACAAACAAACTCCGTTTTTGAAGTGCTGTAAAGGTAGAGAGAATCATTCTTCCTTAGTGTGCAATCCAAAGTACCCCGCGCCATTACTACCTTTGAAATTTTTAAACCCCAAAAATGTTTTGAGTGGATTCCATGCATCCAGACACACATGTATCCTACACAAACACGCCACGCCGGTTCATGGTTTTCAATCAGCGGGATACATCTTCCTCGTGTCAGCTGTGTGCAGCGGAAGGTCAGAACTCGAAAACATCAATATAGTTGTAGCAAGTTAGACAGGCGGTTCCAAGACGTAAAAATACAGCCCCACCTCAGAAAACACCAGTGCCTTTTCGAAAATGAACACCTGAAACATCAAAAAGCCTAATCATCTAAGAGAGTGGAAATGTTCAAGGACGAAGTACCAGCTCAAAGTCGAAGGTTTGACTCATCGAGTAATAGAGAAGTACTACATCCGTCGATGTGGATTAATTTTTTTGATCACGGAGAAATAATGGACTGAGAGGATTGCAGGAGCAAACCATATGCAGCGATAAATGGTACGTTAAACTGGCTACGATCAGACCTAGATATCGCCAATCTCCCGAACCAAGTGACCGGTTCAAAGGGATCGCAACAACAGGTCAATATGGGAGTCATCATCATCTCAGACGTCAAAACAATGCGAAGTAGATTTGTGCGACAAATCCTCGTTTTCGTGGTCGCTTTCACCGTTGCCATCCCTCTTTTCCGCTTTTTCAGTTGGAACGGTTGGTTCTACTTTAACAATCAGTGAACTTTTTTTTTGGAAGCAACTGGTAGCAATACTCAGATAGTCATGAATCCATGAAATCCTTTAAGTAGAAATATCTGCCCGAAACTAAGCAATTATCATGGCAGAGGAGACGATTGTCTGTGTTGCGCGAAACATTCAGTCGGACGGTTCGGAGCTTGAATAGACTATTTACTACTTCCCTTTGAGCAGTTCTTACTGTTATGATTTCTACGACACTCCGGAAAACACCCTTTGTTGATTCCCTTTTATTTGGTCTCTAGTTTTCTTCTCGTGCCCATATATCGAAACGGTTTTTTTTCAGAAAAACCGGAACAAACTAAAGTCGGTTCAGCTGCTAACAGAAGTTCAAGGAGAAGCCTGATTGAAAAGTCGGTTCTACTTCGCTATGGCGACACAGATCCACTAACCATCTTTTCCGCCTATGGTCATTCGGATCGCACCACCGTCATTATCGCTGCCTACGGTTACATGATGTAGGTGTGCACTTATGAATAATATACATCAAATCACCGAAGTCAACTCTTTCGGGGTAATTCGTGTATTGCATCATCTATGACATTGCTACGTTGCCTTTCCAATTCTAGAAGGTGCAATTATAGGTGTATAGGATCTCGACGTAAAGGGAGCTGAAGATGGGCTAGTTATGAGGTGGACTTCCAGGTTCCTTCTTCTACACTGGGTTACGTAGAAGGAGGAACCTGGAAGTCCATCTCATAACTAGCTGGCTGAGAACATACTGTTTACAGCAGTTTTAAGAGTACGTATGAGTCACCTCCGGTATACCAAAAATATAAGACGGCATGGTGTTGATGAGATGGAAGATATACGATTTATGACCTAATCAGCTCCCAGAAACGCAGCTCTTATCTCGCCTACAATGATCCCTTATCGCTATCTGATTGAAACACACTTTACCACAGCCCCATAGTTCTCATCCCCAAAGGGGGCAACTTTCTGATCATGTATTTGTTTACTTTATGCAGCCTTCTATTTATCGTGTGCCTGCCTTCGATCCCAATCTAACAGCACGCACTACTATCTGCATTTATAGACTTCGATTAGAATCGCAGTTGCATGAGGGTCTTCCTGTCTAAACGTTTTCGGTCAGAAAAAAAGCTAATTTTCCTTGTGAGAAGATTATCCATGATTGGGATGAATGGTTGGTGCCGGTATTTGTTCAATCTATGCAGACACAAATGTTCGCTCACGTAACCGATCTGATCACCATCTCCTTGCTACTGCTTCTTCTATTACTTACTACATGGATTACTTGGCGACCCGTTGTCAGCTGCGATTGCTCGTGCGCGGGTCCCAACTTCTTTTCCACGATTTTCTATCTTGAGCCAATGTTGTCCAGTGGACTGATACCTTAATTGAATTAGAATCGCAGATATTGTTTCTGTGAGCAAGAGAGTCTTGCCATCGTAGAGGAGGTCGGCCACGAGGCCATTTCTTCTCGCGAGGTTCCCAGCACACACTTGTTGTACTCCAACGATCGTCATCGCGCCTTATCAGATGTCCAGCAAAGGTGTGTTTTGCTTTGTCGATGTGTAGAATGATATCGCGAACTTTAGACAAGAACGTATGTCTTCGTTGTGCAGCCTGTTGAGCC